TGACAGGAGGATCAAGTTAATTGACACCACTAGGAAATTACCAGAGTAATCCAGAATGTGGAATATCTGCAGACTTGGAATCTTCAAAGAGTCAGTGTCATGCCAGGAAAAACAAAAAAAAGTAGAAACACGATTCCAAGTTTTCAACAGAGACATAACCAATTATAATGCTTGAACCTTAATTAGATTCTGATTTGAAAAAACAGCTTTAAAATATATTTTGGGGAACACTTGAATATGGAGCAGATATTAGCTGGTGTAATGAATTTTAATTTCTTAGATGTGATAATAGAATTGTGGCCATGTGGCAAAATGTTTTCTTGTTTTTAGGAAATATTTAGCAAACAGATAAAGCAAATATGGCAATCTATAGAGAATTGTTGAGTCTAGGTAGTAGATATAAAGATGATCCTTGTAATAGTTCTACAAATCTTCTCATGTTTAAAGTATTTCAAAGTAAAAAATTTGGAAAAATTATTTTATAGATTTTTTTCACTTGAAAGATTAGCAATGATATATTGTTAAATTTAAAATGCTGGTTTAAAAAGCAAATAATATTTATTTATTTTTGTAAAATGTGTATAGTACACATTTGAAAAATTAAGGTAATACTTGTACATTCATGTTCATAGAAACATTACTCGCCGGGCTCGGTGGCTCAGCCTGTAATCCCGCGCCTTTGAGAGGCTGAGGTGAATGGATTGCCTGAGCCCGCGGGTTCGAGTCCCGCCTGGGCAGCGAGACCTCATTTTTACAATAAATCAAAAAATCAGCCGGGTGTGGTAGCGCATGCCTGTAGTTCCGGCTACTTGGAAGGCTGAGGCGGAAGGATAGCCAGAGCCCAGCAGGTCGAGGCTGCGGTGGCCGGAAGCGGCCACTGCACTCCACTCTGGGCGACAGAGTGAGACTCCAACTCAAAAAAAAAAAGAAAAAAAAAAGAAACATTACTCATAATAGCCAAAAGGTAGAAACAACCCTAGCATCCCTAAATGGATTAATTAATAAACAAATATGAATATACTTGCAGTGGAATATTATTCAGCCTTAGAAAGGAAGGAGATTTTGACACATGTTACAACATGGATGAACCTTGAGGACATTATGTTGACTGAAGTAAGCCAGTCACTAAGGACAAATATTGAATGAGTTCATTTATATGAGATATCTAGAATAGGAGAACTCCTAAAGACAAATAGTAAAATGGTGACTGTCTGGGGTTTAGAGGGAGGGAGGAATGAGGTTTTATTGTTTAAGAGTAGAGTGTTTCAATTTTGCAAGAGAGTCCTGGAGACTGGATGTACAAAAATGTGAATGTATTTAACATCACTGAATTGTACATTAAAAATGCTAAAGATGGTAAATGTCATGTGTTTTATCACAATTAAAAAATAAAAAAATTAAATATAAAAATCAATATGCACATAAAGGTATATTTAGAAGGATATGTATCCAGACACATGCACAGAGTTGTTTTTTTCTGTAAGTTAGACTTTCTGGGCAGTTTTTACTTCCCTTTCCATTTCTGAGTTGTATGATTTTTTTTTTTACATTGAACACCAATCAGTGTTTTTTTTTTTTTTTTAAAGAAATCTTTTTCAAAAGAAATAAATCTTTTACAGGTTTTCAGTGTTTTGAAACACATTGGGATGGTATAATGCTTGAATCTTCATTAGAATCTATTTTGAAAAAAAGTAGTTTAAAAATATATTTGGGGGAAGAATTGAATATGGAGTTGATATTAGCTGGAATTAGGAAATGAATTTTAATTTTTTAGATGTGATAATAAAATTGCAGCCAAGTGGCAAAAAGTTTCTTGTTTTTAGGAAATATTTAGCATAAAGATAAAGCAAATATCCTTTAGGAAAATGAATTTTCAGGAAGCAATAGAAGTTGTCAATGCAGCCTGAGAAATTTGTTAAAAACAACAACAAAAATCCTTTGTTTTACATGGTGAGAAGCAAAAACAGACTGCTGGTCCCTTCTTTGTGTTGTGGTTGCCATGGAGAATTTGACCTTATGAGTCTTGGACCTGGCCTGCCCAGCCTGTCCTTGCTCACAGCTGAGGCCCTGCAGCAGCAGAGTCTTTGTGGGAAGGCTCCCCTCCCCCTCCCAGGGAGCTGTGCTGTGCTTGGTGCCTGGTCAGCAAGGGGGTAAAGTTTGTCTGCTGTTGTTGATCAGGACGAGTGTGCCTGCCTTTCCTGCAAACTTATGCCATCACCTCATCTTGCTTGACTGTGCCCCAGGGGTGTGGTTTGTGCCTCTCACCCTCACAGCTACCTTCATGTCACAGACAGGCTTTGATCTGACTTTGATCTAAGTTTCTGTCAAAGTCTGCAAATTACTATTACTTGCTATTACTTGCACAGCATCTTCACGCTGAAGACTTGTTTCAACATTGACTGCTCTCTGCATTTGGACCTTTGGTCCCTATCAGGCTTCAGGCCATGTATCCTATTTTTGATGGGGAAACTTACAACCTAACTATTAATGTGTTCACATCAACAATCAAGCCGCCACAGCATCATTAAAATCTTCTTTTCTAAAATCTGTCATGGAACTGTACTGACCTTTATATCCACATGGGATTTTGAAAAACAAATTATACAGTTCTGTTTTGTTTCCCATTAAATTGTTTTTAGTTTTCTGTAAGGCACAGTCAACCTAACCTCAATCTCAGATGATGCTTACTTAAAAAAAAAATTAAATATTTTGAAAACATAGAAAAGTACAGAGAACACCAAAACAAACACCTGTGTTCAGACCACCCAGATTTAACAAATGTTAACATTTTGTTGGAATTATTGTTCCAGGTCTAGAATTATCATTTTAAAATTAAGGTTTGCATCTGTGTATTGGTAGACTGACCTTAGGGAAACAATGAAACTATTTGAGTTCCTTTTCTGCTGTTCCCTGCCCTTCTGTTGCAGGTGACTGGCATCGGTGGCCTTTGATCCCACAGAGGGCCATGCTGTGCTTTTCTCAGAACAACTGTGCTGGAAGCTGTTTCCCAGGGTGCTGTGCGAAGCCCTGGAGTCCTCGACTCTGTCACAAATGAGTCCTGGTCCTGACTAGCACAAAAAGTTGCAAGCCAAAAAAGGAAGGTTTAACCAGGCTCAGTGGCTCAGCCTGTAATCCCAGCACTTTGAGAGGACAAGGCAAGTGGATTGTCCGAGCCCGCAGGTTCAAGATCAGCCCGGGACTCTTGGCGAGACCTTGTCTCTACGATTAAAAAAAAAAATTAACTGGGTGTGGTAGAGCGTGCCTGTAGTTCTAGCTACTTGGAAGGCTGAGGCAGAAGGATCGCCTGAGCCCAGCAGGTCGACGCTAGGGTATGCCACAGCACTTCAGACCGAGCGACAGAGTGAGACTCCAAATCAAAAAAAAAAAAAAAAAAAAAGGGAAGGTTTATTGTTAGAATAAAAGGAAGCTTATATAGCTCTGTAAGGTGGGGGTTACACTCAATGTACCCAGGAAATCAACAGCTGTTGGAGTCTTAGTTTGCTAGTGCTTCTCTCTGCCTCATTCTTATGCAGTTCATATGTTGGAAAGTGGCCTCCCCTGGCTTCTGAGTTTACATATGATATGTTCAGCCATGTAAATGGGCTATACCTCATAGCCTTGGTGTATAGTAGGCTTACTGACAGCACTACATCAAGTAACTATGGGCGTATACTGAATGGAGGACATGAACCCACTGGACCCGATGATCCAAGCCCCTGTGCCTCACTGCCTCGACTGTCTATCAGTCATGAGTAAAGAGCTTTGTTGAACTCAGCTGCATTGAGCACTGGATCTCCCCACACACCCCGTGGGAACTGAGACAAGCAAGGACAAAAGAGTCTAACGTTTGTGTAAGTGCATTCCGTGATGTTTACACAATAACCAAATCATCTAAGGAAGAATTTCTCAGAATGTATCTTTGTCATTAAGTAACTTACAACTGTATTTTGACCATACAGACAGTAATCATGTATACTATTTTTTCTGAAGAAAATAATTTAAAGCTCTAACTTGGACTGGAGAGCACATGTCCCCCCGGGAGTCTCCTTTAGTGGACTGAATCCCCCAAAACACAGATGATTTTCTGACTATCTTAATTGGCTTATGAAAGGCCACCTCTCTAGGTGGTATGAATTCACTTTCTGAGGTCAGAGCTGCAAGGCCCACTCTGTTTCACCAGCACCTGTGGCCTCAGGTTTGGATTGACAGTGAAACACATGGAAACACAGCAAGCTTCACCCAACACCAAGATGGGTTAGCTTTAAAGAAGATGCAGGACTGGCAACCACATTACATGAATGGAAACTCCCGGCACAGCCTCAAAATAACTCCTTGTCAATCCCCATGAAGAGTATGCACGTGGTCACAAGAAGAGGCCAAATGCGTGGAGACAAACTCAGCTTAGGGAAGCCATTTGTTCAGGGGTCCCTCTCAGCTTTTGCTCTTGCTTGCCTCAGCCCCAACAGGGTACTTGGAGAAGACCCATGTTCAGTGCAGTTGAGTTCAACAAAGTCATTTACTCATGACTGACAGACAATCAAGGCAGTGTGGCACAAGTGCCTGGTTCATCTAGTCCTCAGTGGGTTTTTGTCCTACGTTCAGTATACCCTCATAATTCCTTGACGTAGTGCTAAAAGAAAAACACCCAAATCAAGGGTCAAATCCTTTTTTGTTTCTGTGACTAAATGAAAGATCACAAACCAGTAGTCAAGCCAGGGCCATGTTTTCCCCATATTTGTATTCTAGGCATAGGGTCTGGCATGTAATAGGTCCTCAGTAAAAATTTGCCCAGTGAATATTCAGTTTTGACCTCTGAATTTTAAATATTTCATATTCAGTTTTTTTTTTCATGTGTCTGGTGTTTATAAATGTAAATAAGCACCTAGCAAGTGCAATTTTATTTTTCTATTTTAAAAGTGATATCTGTCAAAGGACTTTATGCTGTTAAAAGGCACAATGATTGTAACATAAAGTCCTAAACTATTTTCTTTTCATCTCTCTTTCAGATTATTTGAGTATATTCTGCTCTATAAGGATGGAGTGATGTTTCAGATTGAACAAACCACCAAGCAGTGCTCAAAGATGACCCTGACAGAGCCCTGGGATCCTCTCGACATTCCTCAGAACTCCACCTTTGAAGACCAGTACTCCATCGGAGGGCCCCAGGAGCAGATCACTGTCCAGGAGTGGTCAGACAGAAGAGCAGCAAGATCCTGTAGGAATTACAGGAAGGATTTGAACTTTGTATCCAGATGTATGATAGGGAAAAAAAAGGTTTAAGTTTATTAGGGAAGGTGGTTATTATGGAAGCTTATAAGCTTAGTTAAGTTAAGGCCCCTATTTAAGTCTCCACATTGCTTTGCTAATTATGTGACAATGGGATCCTAAGCTTTGTATTTGAAATACTTCAGTTTCTAGTACCTGTAACTTTCTGCCACTTTGGTTCCTATGGACTTAGTCTTAGTTTGGACTTTTTGTGATCACCCTCAGGTCTGTGACATGGAAGGCTTTTGTCAAAGGCACACATTTGAATCGGATACCTTCTTCCATCATATCACTTCCTAAAGTTGCAGTGATCAAAACTATTATTATTCTGTGTGTTGAACCAGGCTATTTTTATGTGGAGTTATTCTCTGCTGCCAATATACCCACCCCAAGACTATTTTAAACACACAGGCATTCATGCTGTGTAACACAGTATGGCTGCTTCTCAAAAAATTCAACATAGAATTACCATAGGATCCAGCAATTTCACTTCTGGATATATGACCCAAAGAATTGAAGGTAGGGCCTCAGAGTTCACATGCTCACAGAAGCATTATTCACAATAGCCAGAGGGTGGAAATAACCCAAATGCCCATCAGCAGATAAATGGATAAACAAAATGTCACACACATACACACATACACATCACACACACACACACACACACACACACACACACACACACACACACACACACACACACTGGAAAGTTATTCAGCCTTAAAACGGAAGGAAACTCTGTTGCATGCTATAACATGAATAAAACTTGAGGTTAATAAGTCAAAAGAAATAAATCAGTCACAAAAGGAAGGAGGTGGTGACCAGGACTGGGGGGGAGAGGGAAATGGAGTTAGTGTTTTGTGGGTACAGAATTTCAGTTTGGGAAGGTGAAAAAGTTCTGGAGATGGATGGTGATGGTTGTACAACAACAGGAATGTATTCAATGACATCAAACATTTGAAAATGGTTATAATTGCACATTGTATGTTGTGTACATTTTACCACAATAAAAAAAGCAAGCATTTTGCCTATCTTCTCTATTAAAAAGTCAACTTTTTTTCTTTTCTAGATGAAACCTGGATTGGTGTCTATACAGTCAAGGATTGTTATCCTGTCCAGGAAATCTTTACCAAAAACTACAGTGTGATACTGTCCACACGATTTTTTGACATCCAGTTGGGCATTAAAGACCCCACAGTGTTTACCCCTCCAAGCACTTGCCAGATGGCCCAGCTGGAGAAGATGATTGAGGACTGCTCCTGGTGAACCTGTACACACAGAAGTGATGATGTTGGACCTCAGCTGCCAGTGGCCCCGGATGCAGACAGATTTGAGACTGCTTGGGATGAGAATCTTCATTGGAGAGAAATATATTTTTAGGATGCAAGGTTTTTTGCTATGTCTGATCTTGATTACTCAAGCTATGTTTACAGAAGAAAATTAGATGGAGAGGATGTGATAAAATGAGCTGACTAGGTGGCACTTATGAACACTGTAAATATTTCCAACACCTATCTGGGCCTGGGTTTTCTGTGTGTGCAGGTAGATATGCAGTTCAGTGCCACACAAAAACGAGAAGTCAGGAGGAACAATTTACCTTGGCAGGGGACAGTATTTACTACTGACATTGTTCAAAATTGTGAGTGAGAAAAAGAAGAATGATTTTGATCAGTTTCATTATTAATTTCTAAGTTCCCTATGGACAATGCCCCTTCTATTGCTGCGCCGGGGTGGAGACTGCTACCACTGACCCCTTACACCACCCTGCCCCTGTGCTCCCATGGTCATTGACGAAATGAACTCTTAAAATCCCTTCTGGATCCAAGAGGTTTATGGCATGACCAATTGGTATAAATATTTTTTAAGGAAATGAAAGACTATACTACAAAGTAATTATTTCTCTAAAGAGACATTTTAAGCAAAAGGGTTTGGAAAATTCTAATGTCTGCATCTGGTTAAGCACACGCCCTGTTTCATTCCTTTTTTCTATGCAAGAGTATTGATGTATGTGCTGAATCTTCATAGACCTGTCAATAGGCCGGCAATGTTCTAAAGTAGCACTGAACTGGGAGTCAGGAGACTAGAATTCCCTTGTACTCTAACTCCTTGGGTTACTAAATGCACTAGGCTTGTCCTCACCTTGGCCTTCCTGGGACAGTTTCACAACCTTTTTGTCTATCTGACTCCTCTGCTCCTCCCTCCCTGTTCACCTCACTCATGAGAGCTGCTCCCAAGCCTGGATGATTTGCACCCTGATGCTTGAGCATGCATTTTCACAGTACTTATTACATTGAGTGATATTTTCCTGCTACCTGGACACTATCATCCACTATCCCAACTATGAGCTCCTTGAGTACGGGTACAGTGTACTGTTTACTATTATATCCCTATCACCAAAAAAGTGCCTGGCACATAGTCAGTGCCCAAAACATTTGTAAAGAATGCAAGCATCTCTGGGTCCTTGGTTTCTTCATCTGTCAAATGGGGTTGCGTTTGTCAATCAATAGGGAGAATAAAATTCACCATTCTAAATTCTTCTACTATTTAATCTGCCCATCTATCTTCTTTAGCTACCAAGAGTAACATCTGTGTTTCACTGAAAACAATCTGTTTTGCTCACAATTTATGCTATTTCAATAAAGAAATTGAATTGCATTTCAGAGCATTCTTTGATATGTTTGCTTTTGTGAAATATATACTCGTTTATAATGGAATTAAAATCTTTCTCTAATAAATACTTCGTGTGATCAAAACTAAATTCGTTATCCTCCCTCAAAAGCCTACCTAATTTTCCTCCTGCTTTCCCTTTAGTCCAGTTTCCAGTTGCCAGGGTTAGATGCTTCCAAGTCATTCCTGGCCCATTTGTCTCCTTCAATACGCACCAACAATCGTTATCCCAAGTTCCATCAAATAGTTTTTAAAGCTACTACCTTTTGTCCATCCCCTCAGTCACCACCCAGCTCTGGGCTCTTAACATCATTGAACTTTGCAAATCTTCATACTCTCTGTCCTTGCCAGGGTGTTTTTGTCTAGAAACTATCTTGTGTCCATTCATTCACTCATTCAGGCAGTCATTCAACTACAAGCCAGTAAGGGTACCTACTCCCTACAGTTCCAATGCAGGTTCCTAGAGTCACAGAGGAAGATGAAACCCAGCTTAGCCAGACATCTGGACTGCATAGACCCAAAAGCATTTCACACTTGTATTCTAGGTAGTCTGGGAGACACTGTTGGCCCCCTCCCTGTCTCTCCACCCACGGGATGACCTGTCTCCTCTCCAAACTGCACATCTCCCCTTAGCCCTGGAACTTTGTCTTTGCCCATCCTAAGCCACAACCCTAAAGAAGAAAGGAGGAAAATTTCTTTTATTTTATTTAGGCTATGAAAATTGGGCACCCTTTTGTCTTTTAGCTGGCCTGTTTTAGTACTTAAGCCACTTCACAGAAATGAATAAAAAGTCCAGAAGGATTTGTCATCTGGTGAGGACTGCTATATAAATCTTATGATGTCCTGCCTCTGCGGTTCTCCACAGCATAAAAGCAAAGTAGAGACTTTTACCATGGTGAACACACACTATCTGATTAGGACCCTGACTCTTCTTAGCCTCACCACTTGGCACAGTTCTTGCTTTCCCCAACTGCCACAAGAACTTTAGAAGTAATGCCTGGTTTACCCCTCGGTGGAAGGAGGGTTTCCTTTGTCAGCAATCTTGTGTAAAAAACTTTCTCATGGCCATCAGAGTCAACATGAAGAGGGTCATTGAATAGGGCTTGGACTTCTACCTGTTGTGAGATGGAGCATCCAGTGCTTCACTTACCTACCGACATGGCATCACTGACAATGGGTATAGGCCAGGGTTGGGTACCAGTTTGTGGATCCCCTACCTCATATATCTCTCTTTATGCTACTTTGGAAAAATTTGCTTTGATCTCTCTCAAGGCAGTCTTGCCACTTCCAAATTGCTAGGATCCATGCAAGCACTCATGTGTGCCCAACATATACCTTCCTTCAATTGTGCCAGGCTGAAGAAAGCCCAGCCCTGAGATGGAGTCATGACTTCCTTTTTCCCAAATCCATGTGGAGTCGAGGAGGACTAGCCTTTTTGCCCCTAATTGCTTTATATTCAGGATGACTTTATTATCAGATGCTGTGCAATCAAGATTCCTAAAACTGGAACATATTTAAGTTTTCAAAGAATATTTAATAAAAGTCAAAAAGTTTAGGTCTTTGGGGAAATTTTCTAAGAACTATTTATAATTCCTCACCAAGCTAAATCCTGCATCATTTAAAAACTCAATACTCATTACTCGCTAGATTTCCTTTACAACTCCATCCTCTCATTGCTGCTTCTGTTATTTTAAATCACTTTGCCTATGCATTCACCTGCAGCACACAAGGATGTGTTTCAATCTTCCCAAATATGTAGATCTTGTCTTCCTTCATCCACAGAACGCACCTCACTACAGGAGCACTGTCCTGGAGCACCCACCATTCTTTTTGAGTTAAAATAACTTGATGACAGAATGAGCCACCTCAGTCAGAGACTTGGGAATAATTAGTGAGACTTAAAGGCCTTGTAGATGAACACTTATTTAAAAGACAAATTGAACCTTATTCATGGATATTCTAACATCAATAATCATCTCTTGTGGGAACTATTCTAGGACAGTAACAACAGGAATATATTTGTTTTAAGGAAGAATTATTAGCTCAGCTGTATGTGTAAAAAATATTTGGCCTATAATTTGTTATATATTTTACTCAGGGAAAGTGATGCTGAATTTTATGAGATCCCAACTTAAAATTTTATATATATATATATATATATATTTTTTTTTTTTTTTTTGAGATGGATTCTCACTCTGCCTCCCAGACTGGAGTGCAGTGGCCGCTCCCAGCCACCGTAGCTTCGACCAGCTGGGCTCCGGCGATCTTTCTGCCTCAGCCTTCAGAGTAGCCGAAATTACAGGCGCACACTACCACACCCGGCTAATTTTTGATTTATTGTAGAGATGAGGTCTCACCAAGTTGCCCAGGCGGGTCTCGAACCCACGGGCTCAGGTAATCCACTCACCTCAGCCTCCCAAATGTGCGGAATTACAGGCTGAGCCACCGAGCCCGGCTTTATTGTTTTCATTGGAGAAAAATTAACACAATTTTCAACATCTATTTTATATTTAAGGTTGGAAAATGTAATGTAGTCCCAGCAATCATGGTGTAGCCTCCAATTATCCTATACTTTAGAAATAACTTGCAAAGAATACTAAATTCACAGTATTTAAGTAATCTGAGTATGTGTGTGTGTGCTATGCTATGGTTGCAGTTAATTGATTTCCAACAATATATTATATATTTATTTCAACGTACACCTGTTCAAATCACGTAACTAAAAGTGCTCTTTTCCTCCCTCAAGGTAATTGATGGCAAAATGGTATTCTTTTTACTAAAACATGACTACTATCACCGCAATTTTAAGCTATACTTTATTGTTTTAAAAAAGAAAATTATCAAAACAAATTATAAATCAAGGCATTATCTATTACTTGTGAAATTTGTTTTCAAACTTAAAGTGTGCTGCTTAATAACCTCTTAGATACAGTTGGCTAGTTTCTCAGTCAGCTTAGAGGAAGGTAGCTGCTGGAAAAACACTGACCTTCACTTCCCAAGCAGGAGGCACCAACCTAAACTATAGCAAAATTGCAATTTAATCAAATATACAAATCTGTTTGATTAATGGTGTGGTTTTGGCCTAGACAGTGGGTAGTTATATACATATCATAGAAATTTAGAGACCTTTGATTTTGTTTCATTTCCAGTGCAAGAAGTGATACCTTTCTTGTGGACTTCAAGGTATATCTGTCCTATCTTATTATGTAAGTACACTTTAGCAAAGCCTAGTTTTACATTAAATTTCATTATAAAATGTGACTTTTTCCCCAGAAAAGCTAAAAATTAAATTGAAAACTTTTGTGGAAATGTTAAATTGCAAAATGTATAAAAATTAATGGAAAACTTTTTTTTTTTTTTTTTGAGTTGGAGTCTCACTCTGTCGTCCAGACTGGAGTGCAGTGGCCGCTCCCGGCCACCGCAGCCTCGACCTGCTGGGCTCTGGTGATCCTTCCGCCTCAGCCTTCCGAGTAGCCGGAATTACAGGCATGCGCTACCACGCCCCGCTGATTTTTTGATTTATTGTAGAGATGAGGTCTCGCTGCCCAGGCGGGTCTCGAACCCGCAGACTCATGCAATCCACTCACCTCAGCCTCCCAAAGGCGCGGGATTACAGGCTGAGCCACCGAGCCCGGCTTGGAAAACTTTTTATGAGAAAATGCTAAGATACAAGTGGTTTCTAAAACATTCTGTGATCACATTAGTTGATGGTTATGTAAGACAAGGTGTTGCCATTTAGTCTTTTTGTTTTGTTTTGCTTTGTTTTGTTTTTAGCAGAACCCTTTGCATTTGCAGAACTTTCTGATTTGAATGTGTTGGGTGACCTTTTCTTAGTAGCTTTGACTTTTCTGAGGGTTTAAAAGGAAGATGTTGACTGGTCTGTCTTGTAAGCATCTTAGGAAATGTGACTGACCTTACAAAGTTTCTTACAGATTATATCCTTCCAGTTCAGCAACTAAACACGTACTTCTATTACCATAACTCACATCACATAAAAAAGCAACCCATATCACTGCAAAGGTGTAGATGGATCCTAACACTTTTGATCTCTTGGCAGTAAAGACATCACTTAGATTTATATATGTCCTAAATAATATTTAAAAATATCATGATGATAGAAATCCTGTAATCTTACCTAATTCAAACTGCCTAACTATATTTCAAACAGCAAAGAGAAGTGGAGAAGAAGGAAGAGGAGTTTGAGAAAGTAGAAGGAAAAGAAGATGAGAAGATGAAGAAAGAGGAGGAAGAAGAGAGGAAGAAGAAAAGAAGGATCAGGGGAGGAGGATAAGGCATTTGAATTAACACCATAAATTTTCAGTCCAAAGGAGTTGATGCATATTGATGAATAAACATGAGAATAGTGCAAGCCATACTGGAAGAGTACTTCAGAAGTTTTCAATTCAGACATGCCCCCCTTAAGTTACCCTAACAGAGAGCATTTCTAGACTAAACATTCTTTTCTTGAACCATGAAACTTTGGTTCCTTCTGTTAGAAATTCAGAATTGTTCCCAGGTCTATACACCTTATCACAGATGTTGATATTTGATGAAGAATCAAAATAACTTTAAAGAGAAAACCTATCAGTTTTGATGATAGTCTGCCTTTTCAGTGTATCCATTTTAAAAGATTTTTATTTTCTCTACTGACAAAAATTAGAATTCAGTATTGTGGTATATTTAAGTGTATAGAAATTGAACCTCAAGGACACTTTTCAGTTCAACTTTGTATGGAAATTATATTATTACATAGGTAATTCTTGGATGATAATGGGTTACCATGCAATTTTGAAAACTCTTTAGTCCATCTTATTCCCCCTAAACCCTTTACCTTCCCTGTCTAGTCATGAGAACTCTATATTTCTAGGTCAAGAAAGAAGGGGAAACAGCTTTGTTGAGATAATTCAGATAATATAAGAAAATACAGTATTTGCAGGAGATGTTTCTGGAATAGAGATAAATAAAAATTTTCCCCAATCTTCTGCCATGTGTAATCATTCAATACAACAATTCTATTCAAAAATAATTTTGTTAATAAATTTTCCACTTAGATGAATTTATATGTCTC